TTTGGCCGTGGATGGACGTCCCATCCCTTTCAACTTCAAAGACCCTATTGCAGATAAGAAACTAAAAGACATCGGAGTTAGTCTAACGGATGACTTAATGACTCAGCTCATAAAAGGCAGATCTAATAGCCAGACTCCCGTGGAAGTGGAAAATGAAGCCAGGACTCCCAGTCAGGAGAGAGGGGAAGAAGCAAGCACACCACACGCGGGGGATCGTGCTGCGCTTTCAGGTGGAGCCCTGATTGCACATGCCAGATCGCAAGTTGAGCCTAAATCGGGGCGCTGTCTTGAAGCTCCCCTGTCCCTTCCACTGAATCGGCAGCCTCGGGGGGTGAAACTGGCTATTCAGGTGTCCAACCGAAACCACTACTGCTACTGCTCCAAGCGGCTCTTGGGGCTGCACTGTTTGAAACGGCGGCAGCTGCAGCAGCTGGGCTATGTGGTGGTTGAGCTTCCCTTCTGGGAATGGTTTCCTCTGCTCAAACGCACGCGTTTGGAGAAACTGAGCTACCTCCATTACAAAGTGTTCGACCCAGCGCTGCTCAACAGGGCTGGCTAGTCTGGTGCGCTGCTTGCTCAGAGGCTGACACGGCCTCCCAGCTGCATCCCTCTTTCTGATTACTGATTAAAATGGTCTCTGAGTGTTAGTTAAGTTTTTGGCAGGTGCTTTGTGTGCTCAGGCTGCTTTGCTAAGTTAGCCAATTCTGCTTTACTCACGGTCATGTGTCCCGTGCTCTCCTTTTGTACGTAGATCCTCAAATGCTTCCATGACAAATAAAAGCTACTGTCCTATTCGTTTTTCTCCATGATTACTTTTTTCTCTGCCCTAAATGAAAGTGGATGGATTTGGTGACTTTCTGAGAGCAGAACAGTGTCAATGCTGTTGTGATATTTGGGAGGGAATTGGGGTGATTTTTAGTCATGAAGCTGACCTGCATGCCAAGAACACACATACATAGGTTAATGGTTGGACTGGATGATCTTAAAGGTCTTTTCTAACCTATGATTCTATGATTCTATGTTTCCTTACTGTTTCCATCACCATCGAGCCAGGGCCGGCAGGCACGCAGTCCAAGTTTCTCCTTTAGGAGCTGTGCGTGAGCGGGACAGAGCGTGAAAACAGAGTGGCGAGATGGAAGCTGGGCCTGAGGGCTGGGGTGCTCTGACCCCGAGACACGAATTTCTTACTCAGCCCTCAGCAATGCCTGGCAGAGAGGATTTGCATCCTGTTGACCCTGTTGATAACACCTGCTGCCAAATGGGGCCCACAGATCCACCTTGAGGCAATTCCTGTGCCTGGGGGATGATGAGTCCTGTGCGAACTAGGATGCAAACTGTAGCTGCGTGGAGCATCTGCTCTGGAGGCAGCTGGTTTCACTCTGTCACATTGCTCATCCTGTTATTTTCTTGCTCAGGATGAGGCCCAGTGTCCAGTTGCTGCACACTGTTCTGAGGACAGAGTTGCTGGCTTCTTCCTGAGCTTTCAGGTAGTGTTTCTCTCCGAGAGAAGGGACATTTCCTGAGGTGCGCAGGGCAGGCTCTGCATCTGACCAGAGCCGTAGGGATTATTTCACATGGAGCAGCAGGTGAAACTCCCATTCCCACTGCGAAGGCAGCCGAGCTGTTCTGGCTGTTTTGCAGTGCAGCGTTCCAAGGCACACTGAGGTGGAGGACAGGGAAGAGAGGTGGGAGGAAGCAGGTTGCTGTCCCAAGACAGATGCTGTATATTAGCTCATTTTGGCTGCCTGGTTTAAAATGGCTGGGCTGATTTTTTTTCCTCTCCTTCAAATACTCCGCGTTATTAAGCACTTTAGTTCATTGTCCTCTATGCATGTTCCTTACTGCAGCAGCTCCCTGGTCGTTTGTAGGACACCAGGAAGGCACTTGGTGACTAGCTCCAGAAGGCCTGGTGTTAAATGACTTGTCCAGGACCACAGAGGATCTTGCTGGCATAGAAAATACAGAGTGGAGTCCTTCAGGTCTGCATTTCACTGCCGCAGTCAAAAGATCTTCGCTAACCTTAGGGAAGGCAGGCACCCAAGAGAGATGGGACAGTTGCGTGACATCCTGATGACACTTTGTAGTCTTTGAGTCCTTTGTGATCTTTGAGTCGTTTGTTTTGATGAGCAATGACTTTAGCAAAGCCGTTTTGTGGCTGTTGTATTTTTAAAGTGTTTGTAAATTCAGAACCTCCTTCATGCCACAACCTCCTGGGTTGTCGCTGGCACAGGAGACCTCCACACAAGTTTGGGGCGTAAAGACAGCAGTAGCCATGGGCAGCCACATCCACTGCCCTGTCCCGTTCTTTTTCCAGAGATTTTTCCAGTCTGCATTTCCCCAGCTCTTGCTTCAGCCCAGGCTCTTTGCAGAGGGGTCTTGGGCTCACTGTCCCCATCTCATCCTGGCTGCTCCTCTGCTCTGTTCTCTCACCTGCTTTTGCCTGTCCCTGCTGATTCTTGTTCCCAGCCTGCTTCTCTGCCTCAGCCAGCCCCTTTACCTTCCGATCGCAGTGGTGTCCAGCCAGTTCTTACTTTCCTTCTTTACACGGAAGCTTCATCCTAATCTCATTCCATTTAATCTATCCATTCATCCCCACTGCACGTCTTCTGGGTTGCATTTTCATGGGAAGAGTAAAAAAGCCACAGCCCTGGCTAAAAGCAACTCAGTGACCAGCTTTTCCTGTGAAGCAAGAGTGTAATAGAGCTTTTCAGAAGACAGGAGAACAGTGACTTGGATGTGCAGAATAATGCTTTTGGATCTGGAAAAATTAGTCGGAGTTGTTTTAAGTCTGTCAGGGTCACAAACAGGTAGGAGAGAATCCTATAAAATATACCGGTATATACACACATAGCTCCTCATGCTGCAGAACGAGGAGCAGCTGAATTGAAGGACAGCGAGTTTAGCGAGAGAAGAAATTGTTTGTAATTAACCAGAGCTAATTACCACAATATTAAGGGTATGGTAGAAAAGGATAGATTTAGGATGCAACCTCAGTGACAGCCTTAGGCTTAGAGGAAGATGTGAGTCTGTCCTGAGGAATGACTTGCACCCGTCCGTGATTTGCCTGGCGTAAGGCAGCACTGCAAAAGAGGAGGTTGCACAACCGCAAGGTCCATGGGAGAATTTGGCATCCGCCGTAGGCAGGATCTCAGTAGACAGTGGCTCATGAGGAGTGAGTTCTTAAAGCAATGAGTGTGCAGGGATGCAGAGGTGAAGGTGCCTCTCCACGCTCACCTTCATTCAGGGAAAGTCTCACTGAGACTTCCCGAATGCATATTCACCGGTCTGGTCAGGTTGGAAGGGATATGGAGAAGTCTTCAGCCCAGGAAAAAGAGATGTGAGGAGAAACAGAAGAGAGGGCAAATCTTGAGTCATTCCAAGAAAGGGATCAAAGAGAGCTCATTTGCCGTTTTTCATAATACCAGTGATAGGAGGGCCAAGCTAATTTACTAGGCAGCAGGTTCAAAATGAACCAAACGCTGTAGCTTTGTCACACAGCCTGTAGTTAAACCGGCAATCTTACTCACACAAGATGTGGGTGCCAAAAGTCAGACCAGTTCAAAAGCCTATCTGAACAATTCCTCACTGGCAGCCCTGCACTGGAAGCCTGTCAGGCTCAGAAAGCCAGGAAAGTAATATTGGAGGAGCATTCGTCTGCACTTGCCCCATTCCTGTGTTCCCTGTTGCAGAGCAGGAATTGCTCCTGGTGGCTACCAGACCAAATACTGGGCTAGAAGGGGTGCTCGCCCGGCCCGCTATAGCTCTTCTTAGGTTCACGCCTGCTTCAGTCAAGCGTTGGCATTGCAACCTTCCAGCTCTGCTCTCCGCAGGCTTGGCTTCTATTGCATTGATTTTTATCTGTTGGATTTGCACCTCGGATACCACATTTCTCATTTCAGAGCGTTGCGCTCCATCGCACGCAGACCGGACTGCTCCCGCACGCTTAGCAGGCAGGCAAAGCGAGCTTGTTAATGCTCTGCATTTCAGCGGCCGGACCGGCGTGCCCCCAGAAGGCCAATTTCATTTTGGCTGAACTAAAAGCTTCAGTTGAAAATCATTAAAGGGCTGCTTGTTCTTGAAGGAAGCAGTGGGTTCCTGATTTACAAGGTTGCCCGAGGCAATGACATATTAAAACTGAGGTTAATGTAAGGTTAAAACTCTTACCTTGCGGATAATTTCATTCTTAAAAGGGATCTGATCTAACCAATTCGAGTCACATTTTTTTCAATGGAAAAGATGGTGCATTCGCTTGAGTTTCTTTAATGAACATTGTCAGAAGAATCAGCTGGGTCGGTGTTCAGAACACAGATAATCTCCCTTAGAGCTATTAAATGCCCTCTGCTCCCTTGGAGCTATTAAATACCCATTATTAATATTTGTGTTTAATCTTAGCTTACATCTGAGGCTCCCGAAGCCCTCGAGAAACATTTCTCTTTGCGGCAGTGCTGTGTTAGTGCTGGCTGGTGTTACCCTCGTCCCGAGAGGCCCCGTCTGAGCTTGTCGTGTTGGGTGTTGTCCAAGAGCGCAGGCAGGTCCTGCCTCAAAACTGCTGAAGGCAGCAGACAGACGTGGCAGGCAGGGGGAACCGGGCACGCAGGCAGAAGGCACAGTTCAAGGCCACGCGGGGGGAATGGACGTGGGCTCTTTCCGCCTCGCAGCAGTGAGGGGCTGTGGTGCTGGATGCCCCGGTCGGATCACGGAGCAGCCCGTGCCCTCTGTATCTACAAAACCTCCTGCATCTTTGATAAACTTTCAGATCTAATTGCTAGCCTATCCATAGGTAAGATGTTTTCAGATAAAATAGCCATTTTCTCTTTGATGTTTCTCCAGGGGTTTGCTAATTAATATTAACGCAATTTTTTTCTCTTGATCCCGTCTCTCCACCACAGTCATTTGGGTTTATATTGGCTTCACCTCCTGGACTCAGATCTGAGCTGCATTTTAGGAACTACTGAACTTGTAATTCCTACAGGCTCGGAAACACGAGATCGTTTCACTGTTCACTGATGTTCATTTTCTTTATTTCGCTTTTTTATTTTTTTACAAGCTGAATCTGATGCTCAGAAAGTGAGCTCTCTCCAACTGCCAAGATGGTAATAAACGTCTGTCTCCCACAGTTCAAGCCAAGAATTCACTGCAACAAGGTAAAATAACAACGTGTGGGGTTTTAGGGAGCTGGAGGGATGGAGGGGTTTGGTGGAACTGGCATGCTGGACTGGTTGGGGCTGGGGAGGGCTTGTTCCCTGCTCATCTGTGATAATTAGCAGTGTTTCTGGAAGACTGGTTTTTGCCTGACCAAGCCAGGCTACCCTGAGAAAACAAAGCAAGGGCAACTCACAGCAACCTCCCAGCAAATTTTGTGTGGTCTGGCTGGTTCAGAGAGGGATTTTAGCATAGGAGGCTGTGCATGTCCGCTGGCAACAGAAGCATTGAGGGCAGATGCAGTCCCAACCTAGGTAAGGTGTAGGCTTTTTAGTCTGCAGAACTGAGAGCATTTTTGTCAATTAAAATCGTTTTCCAGTGATGTGGGAGGCTTGTGATTTGGGTGGGTTTGCTCACAGCTTTCCCTTCCAAGCTCACCAGTCTCCTGTCATTCCCAGCAAGGAGGTTTTGTGAACTGATGTTGGGAATCTGTCCTCCTGGATCCCCTTTTGTGCTGTGGTCTTGGGAGAGTCATTGGCGTGCGAGCACTAAGAGAACCTGTATCTGGTTCTCAGACCTGAGCTAAAGTGGAGCTGAAGGCTCAGTACTTTGAAAAATTGGTATTGAGAGATTTCCCAAAAGTTACTCTTCAAAATTTGGTTTGGTTAATCTCTGCTAGGTAGCATTAGAACACTACATAACCTCCTGTGACCGCTCTCGTGTGGCACACACTAATTGTTGGAAGGAAAAAGCCCTGATTTTGCAGGATCTCATAACAAGACAACGTTATGTGCTTATGGGTGTGCGTGCTTTGACTTGAGATACCTTTTTCCCCACAATATTAGAGCTTTCCTTTTGCCCAGTAGAACATGCAGCTCTTGACAACGTTTGCTGTAGTTACTGTGCTTTACAAGTACTTGAGTTTTCACCCAGCATCATCAGAATCTCTTAGGTGCTAACTAGTTTTGAATTCAAAGCCATTTTTTAATTGTAAGTCTCCCCACCAACTCACACCCCAAAATCCAAGACAGCCTTGGATTTGTAAGTATTGTGCTGTAAAACCAGCAGTGCAGGTGTGACCGTCCGCGCGGGTGGTGTGTTGAGGGACCCAGCCGTGCTGCTGAGGTTTGGTGTGATTGTTGTCGTCAGGAGGGTACAGAGCGACCACATTAAGCAAGTGGAATAAATAGATATTCCTTGCTGTTACCTGTTTATTTAGCAAGTGCTGCAGACTTTTTAGGCCTCAGGGCTTCCAGGAAAGGGAATGGGTAGAGCCAGCCTGTCCAGGAGCAGACCAGAGCGTGGGATTGCATCTTCTGGGAGACGTGGGGTGGGACCCAGCCTGGTTAGACGGAGCTCCCTCAGGGATGGGTGGGCTTGATCCTAGAGCAGGAGAAGGCCGCCGGCTAACTGACCTCCGGAGGTTTCTCTGGGATCCTGTAACGGGGTGATTCAGGGTACGTTTCCACACGGCAGGATGGGCTGACATAACTTTTCACCACTTTTGAAAGAGAGGAGACTCCCGTCTCCCCCACACACACATGCCCTGCTCCCAGCCACGCTCTCCCACTCGATACAGCTCACTGACCCAGCCAAAACCACAAACTGTCCATAATTGTCCACTCTTTTAGCAGTTAAATCAGCTCTGCAAATGGCTGGCCAGGTAACAGGGTGCAGAGAAGAGTGGATGAGACCACGTGGCTGGAGGAGGGTGGGAACAGGGATCTCCTGCGTTGTCTCAGCTGCACACGAAACCGCAGCCTTGGCTCCTAGTTGATGTTGTCTTGCGAATCTACAGACGTGCTTGTGAAATCAGTTTCCTTTTGTTTTCTTGCTCCAAATTAAATCCAGTTTTCTCCCAAAACACAGATTTCTGCTGATGGTTACGAAGTGGAGAATCTGATCTCCGAAGACCTTGCCAGGAGAAATCGTGGTTTCCGCAGTGAATACTTTATCAAACCTCCAGTCCACGTCACGATCTCTTTTCCCTTCAACATTGAGATCTGCAGGATCAATATCGACATCTCATCTGGGGGATACCAAACCTTCTCCGGGCTCGAAGTTTACACTTCTACCTCATGCAATAAAACCTCTTGGCAGAGCCCCGAGGGTCAGTTCTCAGGTCTGGCCGGTCAGCCTGTGTCGGACAAAGACACTTTCACACTGGTGGGCAAAGCTGTCTTAAAAAATCAAAGCAAAGTGACGTTCGGCCACAGGGGCTTCAAGCCGAGGCCTCCCTTCCATCAGATGGAAAATGTCTTCTCCTACCCCGGCTCTGCATCTCAAGACCTCTGGAACAAAGGGCCTGCCTCACTGAGCAACGTGTCGCACTTGAAAATCTGCATCACCCACGTGGCTGGAGGCGGCCTGCCTTGCATTAAGAGGCTGGAGGTGTGGGGACAGCCTGCCAAATCGTGCCCGCAGGAGGTGATCGAGGGTGTCTTTCAGGTGGCCTCCCAGTTCTTCGCCCAGGACGTCGGCAGCCTCAAGCCAGAGCTCTGGACGCCGATGGAGAGCGACTGCGTGCCCTTCAGTGCCAACGACAGCGAGCAGCAGACCCTCCGCAAGCTGGTGGACGTTGTCCAAGACATCCCCGAAGAATTCCTGGACCCCATCACTCTGGAGATCATGACCTTCCCCATGCTCCTGCCCTCTGGGAAGGTGATCGACCAGACCACCTTGGAAAAATGCAACCGGAGTGAGGCGTCTTGGGGCAGGGTACCCAGCGATCCTTTCACTGGGGTGGCCTTCAGCCAGCACTCGCAGCCCCTACCTCACCCTACCCTCAAGGCCAGGATAGACCACTTCCTCTTGCAGCACAGCATCCCTGGCACAAACCTGCTCGGGAGGGCTCACGCCTCGGAAATGCTCGTACCTTCTTCCATCACAATGTCTTCTCTGAAAAGGAAAATGGACTGTATGGATCAGAGCTCCGTGCAGCCACCTTATTTTTCTTCTACAAACTTACTTGTCACGTCTACCTCAGAGAACAGTGCTAAAAAAATGAAAACTGACAATGACTCGCATTTGATCCAAATGGACTGTTCGACAGGTATCGTGGCTCCCTAAGTCACTTGTGTTTCTTGAGTGTGTTGACAGCTCGGGGCCAGGTTTTCAAGTCAGGAGGCTCCAGTACAGATTCCCATCCCACCTCTAGAAAGCTTTAAGGCCGTTATATTTTGCTGTTGATAGATGTCGTGGAAGTCAGGTCATTGTCTGATTCACCTCCCCTCTCCTCAGCGCAACCTGCCATCCTGGATGGTGTTTGCTCCCATTCCGTTTCACCTTTTCTCATCTCTAGGCTCATCGTTCTCCTTGGGTTACCTGTGCAGTCTGTTTCACAGCCCTCTTGTTTGCTCAGGTCACCCTGTTTCCCTTTTAGTTTGTATTTCCTTTCTCCTCCTTGCTTTCAAGCCACTGTCCATGTGGAGACAACCTTTTTCTCGCAGTGTGCTGGTTTGAAGTTTCTTTAGCGTGGGCGATTTATTATCCCAGCCAGCCAATATGTTCTTGCGTCAGCGAGAAGATACACAACAGCCAGAAAAGCAACGTCTGGTGGTGCAGTGGTGATGGCGCGGGGTGTCCTGGCTGGTGTGGATCTTACCACGAGGAGTGAGGTGGGGAGGAAAGCAGGAACAAGGCACTAATCCTGCTCATGGATTTCCCCGGCCAGGCACTGCCAGCCTGGGCTCTTGGTGCAGCCGCTTCCCTGCACGCTCCGTGTCATCGCACAGACTGTGCCCCTGGGACAGGCTGGCTCCTTACGTTCTTCCAGGGCTGCTCTTGCTGTGGCAGAGCCTGGGCACGCGGAGCGTGTCACCGCACAGCCTCCGGTCCACGCTAATCCACGCTTGCGGCAGCGCAAGGGCTCAGAACAAACTGCAGCAAGGGAATTGCAGGCAGTGCTGCCTTGGGAGCAGGGAGGAGAGGACAGCACAGGCTGGGGGAGGCTTGCCCAGAGCTTGCAGCTAGTTAAAGCAGAAAACCAGGTAGAGACGTGAGACGAGGGATGTGACTGTGTCTGCAGGGGTAGGAAATGGGCACTGGTTTCCTTTCATCCTTGCTTTTTTTAGAGATCTGGCAGCAGCACTGCTGGGCGTAAGCTCCGGGAGGCAGAAAAACAATCCAGGCCTGCAATCCTGAGATAAATTCCCTGAAAAAAGCCGAGTGCTTTCACCCACCTCGGGCCCCAGCCATGCCACAGCTTCTTACCGGGCAGCCAAGGCAGCGTTGCGGCAACGCAGACGGACCTTTGGATCCACCGAGCGCTGGGTGCGGGAGCGTAGGATACTCTTTGTAGGTCCAGCAGCTCCCAGTGCTGGGGCAGGCTGGACTGGTGAGGAGGCGACAGTCTTTAGGAAGCAAAAGTGATCTGTGGTTTGAATACCAAGGAGATTCACACCTCTCTCCCCAAAATCTGTTCCCTCGTGTGGTTTATTCTTTATTCTGGTACCTTCAGCCTCCAGTGCGTGGTGAAGAGCGTGGCTCCCGGGCAATTGCTCCTCTTGACTCCACGCTAGATCTTTAGCCCAAATCTGCATCTATTTTGCGATGTTTGCTTTCTCCCTTGTTGGCACAGGAATTCCTGAAACGTATTGGAGTTGCTGGCAGTGCAACTGTTTTGTGGCTATAACTGTACTGCATACAGCAACAGTTATATCTTGTCTCTGGTATCGTTAAACTGAGTTCCTGCTTTAGGTAATAATACGTACACGGTGCATGGGTGTCTCCTGGTCACATAAGGGCTGTCTCTAGGCAGGTTAAGTTCAGTTTCCTTGTTCTCTAAATCAGTGGTCTGTAACGCATCAAAAGGTGGACCGCGGCTTCTGGTTGCTGTTAGTGCCTGCTGGTACCTGTCACTTGCATTGTCTCTCTCCCCAAATTGTCCAAAAATGTTTCCAGGTAAAAGCTTAGGTGGTTCTTTAATTTTAAACAAATTCTTTAAAGACTTGGTAGAAAATAATTGATGTTCAGTGGTACCGGAAGGAGCCAGACCGCACATTTCTGCTCTAATCTCTCAGTCTAGAGCTTATTCCATGGTTTAGGAGGAATCATTAGTTATTTTTACTGCAGAGGCGTGTAACAGCTCCCGCTGGGGATGTGCCCCAGGCCCCCAGGAGCAGGGACTGCCCTGTGGGGTCCTGGAGCTCCCGCGGGAGCCGTGCCCGTACATAAATAAAAGCACAGTGCTGGGCCCAGGGAGCTCGTGCTTCAGTATTTCATCAGCCTTGATTGCTGTAGCAAATGTGCAGCGCTAATTCAAAGGTCTTCCCCTGGGAGATGGATTTAACAGAATTAGTGATGCAGACAACATTCTCTTAATGCATAGTCTTAATTAATGCCTTCGGTATTGCACAGGACGAAACGCTGCAGGGAAGGGTCCAGCCCTGTGCCTTTGGCTTTATCCCTTGACTCAGAACTGTGACAGAGAAGAAAAAGATTAAGTCCCCCAGATTTTGTTAGTGGCTTAAATGTTCCCGGTGAGCTGCACAAAGCAAGCCTGGGAGTGCTGGGCTGGGAGCCTCGGCGGAGCAGGCTGAGGGAGCTGCCTGGGGTTTCAGAGGGAAGTGGGTGTCTGGATCATTTGGCATTTTGGCCTTGTTCGGACCTGCAGGTATAAGCCAGCACCTGATGTTCGTTGGCTCTGGGGCCTGACATGAATGTCTGACAGTAATCCGTAGGGCTTTCCATCTTCAGGACCCAAAGGAGATGAGGCGCTACATCCCCATCCTGGCACCTGGGTGGGGAAAAGAGACCTCTCGAGAAAACAAGTGGCAGAGCTCCTAAAATCCCCAGTGTTGTCCCTTCGAAAGGTTCAGAGGCGAAGCAGCATTTCTGTTGCACATTGACAGCTTGCTTTTTCCCGGCATCCGCTTCTCGAGCTTGTGCTTCTCTTTGCAGATCTGGTCTCTCACGAGCAAAAACTGTCGGAGAGTTTGGACACTGCCTTGAACTCGGCGCTCAGCTCGATGCCCTCGTTTACGGCCAAGCTGATGAAAAGCCAGCAGCAGGCGCAGAGCGAGGGAGGCTGCAGCAGCTCGTGGGGCACGGGCACGATCCTCGGTAAGCAAAAAGTGCCCCTGGTTCACCTTTGGGAGCGAGAGAGGAGAGGAGAAGCGGGACTGGGTTAACAGGGAAGGTTGTGCTGCTGCTCAGCATCTTTCTATGCCTTTTCAGACCCCAAAATATTATATAGTCAATACAAAAATTCAATATAAAAATACTATATTGTCTCCCAGCAAGCTTTACTTAACAATCCCTAACTACTGCCTTTGTATCTCAGCAGTTTTAATGATTTATTCTCCCAGAGAGGCAGGTTAGACCTTGTTGACCCCCAGAAAGTGAGGTGCGGCATCCATGTCCCCAGTCAGAGCAGGCTTCAGCATGAGTCCTGTGATGTGTACTGGGCACTGGGGAGGCTGCACCTGGAATACTGCATCCAGTTTTGGGCCCCTCACTACAAGAAGGACATTGAGGTGCTGGAGCGTGTTCAGAGAAGGGCAACGGAGCTGGTGAAGGGTCTGGAGCACAGGGCTGATGGGGAGCGGCTGAGGGAAGTGGGGTTGTTCAGCCTGGAGAAGAGGAGGCTGAGGGGAGGCCTGATCGCTCTCTACAACTACCTGAAAGGAGGCTGTAGTGAGGTGGGTGCTGGTCTCTTCTCCCAAGTAGATAATGATAGGACAAGAGGAAATGGGCTCAAGCTGTGCCAGGGGAGGTTTAGATTGGATATTAGGAAAAATTTCTTCACAGAAAGGGTAGTCAAGCATTGGAACAGGCTGCCCAGAGAGGTTGTGGAGTCACCATCCCTGGAAGTGTTCAAAAAACGGGCAGACGTGGCACTTTGGGACACGGTTTAGTGGGCATGGGGGTGTTGGGTTGATGGTTGGACTGGTGATCTTAGAGGTCCTTTCCAACCTTAATGATTCCTAGTTTTTAGTTTCATTAAAAAATAATCCAGCCACCAAGCCAGGAAAGATGAAATTGCTACTGTGCCCTTAACTGGTTTAGTGGTGGAGTTGGTAGTGTGAGGTTAATGGTTGGACTGGGTAACCTTAAAGGTCTTTTCCAACCTAAACGATTCGATGATTCTGTGATTTCCCCACATTGTTGTCTGGAGCTTGTCTGCGCTGCCCAAGGACCAGCCTGGATGCGCTGAGACGCGGTGCTCGGCCCAGCCTGCACCGGGTCAGCTCAGGCTGAGAGCTCGCCCCGCGGCGAGGCTTTGGCTGTTCCCAGAGCTCTGCGAGTTGGGCTGAGTGGCTTAAAGGTCGCCACTTGGCTGCCCAGAGCCAGCTGGGGAGTTGCTGCCTGGATGGGGAACGAGTCCAGTGCAGAGGTGCAGCTGGAGAGGGGTAAATCTAGCAAATACCATGTAGCGTGCTGACCCCTAAGAGGAACAGGTAACGGTAGCAATGTCACAGGCCAGCCAGCCAAGTGCGTGCCCAGAATCCCATCGGGTTTGAGTATGCATAGGCCAGGCTGCTGAGTCCTCGCGGTTTTCATCACACCTGCTAGCTAGAGATGCTAATCCAGCTGTGTATGCATACCCAAAATGATTTCTTCGGGGTGCAGGGAAGCCTTGAACCTTCGTATGTCCCTCCGCAAGCTGATGCCCTAACTGCTGGCTTGCTCCTCTTCTTCCCCTGGGCGAGGATCTGCCTGCTTGCGGCACAGAAGAGGGCTCAGAGGGACCAAGTGACCCTGAGAATGGGCCGGGGCTGTGCAGCTCCCAGTGTCTGTCACTCCCTGAATAGCTTTTGCTGTTTCGCAGCGACATTAAGCTATTAAGCTTTTTCCTGTCCCCTTTAAAATTGCTGCTGTTTAAGAGTTGACTGAGTAGCCCTTGATAGGTAGTGTGTGACAGGAATGCAAAGCGATACCTAAAGCGTTTCACTTGGGAATCGGTGATTTTAATCCGAGCGTTGGAAAAGCAGAAGGGCAGCCGATTTTAGTGGCAGTAAAAGTGAAAAGCCCTTTACAGTCATCTGCCCTCAATTAAAAGCCTGATGGTCCAAATGCTGATGTGATCCAGCCCCTTCTGAGCGCAACCTGCCCCAGAAGCCAGACCGTTCCCTTTCCTTACGGTAGCGATAGAGAAAACGGGGCCGCAGTCCTGAGCCACGAGCGCCTGCAGCTGTGCCGTGCATCTGCAGAAAGCGGGGCCCTCGGCTCCTCGGCAGGGTTGGGCATGCAA